GTAATTTGGAGAGGGAATCTTTTTACTTGCTCACATGAACTAGTTTCCATTTTTGCTTCCATATCATGATTAATGTATGTAATTTCCATTTTTAATTGAGATATACCACACATACAAGGCAGAAGGCAGACGTACGGCCCAGCACCTTCATTTGTGAATGCAGCAATGCAACCTTTAGTAAATTAATCTTAAAAAAAAAAAACCCAAAAAACTCTAAAGGACAGTGAGATTAAAGTTGGGAGACTGGTAAAGTACTGAAAATGAAGTTTTAATAATTTGGCCTGGAGAGATGGCTCAGCGGCTGAGCATTATCTCCTTCCAAAGGATCCAGGTTCAATTCTCAGCACCCACATGGCAGCTGTGACACTAGTTCCAGGAGATCCAACACCCTTGCACAGACATGCATGTAGGCAAAACACCAATACACAGAAGATAAAAAAATCGTTAAAAAGGGAAGAAAGGAAAAAAAATTTTTTTGTGCAAACATCTCCTCCCCCACAAAAAAACAATAATTTGGCCTGGAGTATTGGCTCAATGGTAGAACATATTTGCGTAGCATGATGTGTTTACCTAGTACAAGCATGCACACACACACACACACACACACACACACACACACACACACACACACAAACAAACCCATCTGAACACAAACACAAAGATCAGATTTTCAGTTTCACGAAAATCTATTAAAGCAACTCTTTCCCTTAACTATTTTAAAGGTGAGAATGAGCTGGCATCCATAATATATTTTTACAAGCTATATTAACATTCAAGGTGAGGAGCCTGCAGAGAGGTAGAAAACAGTACGTGTTCCAAAAACAACAATCTGTTGCGCACTCCTTGAGGGCTCTACACACTGGGAGTTGTGCCTGTGTGCAAGGCGGAGTGCTGCGAAGCAACATGTGTCTGCAGACAGGGGAATGTTTTCCCTGACTCTTATAAATGCATGCAGTCCTCACGTGTATATTTACACAAGTCTGCTTTCCCTGCAGGGAGAAAAAAGTCAGACTTATTGACGTTGTTTGTGACCCTCAAACTGAACTTGAGACTATCAAAGTACACTTTAATTAAAGATTAGGTCTAAACTATTTTTTATTTAAAGGCTGGTTCTGAACAAATGCCTTCACTGTTCAATTAAAAATAATGTATGGGATTAAATAAGCAAGAGTGGTACACATTATTGCTTTCCTCTGTATCTGTCACAGTAAATACTTGTGACAGATGTTTCCTCTCTTTTCAAATATGCTAGGGGGTGCTTGAACCTTAGTGATTTAAAAATAGACATTAAATCCATGCATGTTGCCCCAAGATCCACCAAGAACACTGTACAGCACTATACCCTAAAGAAGACAAACAGTTACCTAACTCCTCTAAAGTGCAAGCAATGCTGATAACCATAGACCCACATATTTTTGCTAATGCAAAATACCTTTTTAATGGGTTGGGCTATGCTGGGTCTCAGATATCTTTAAGGAATACGAATCCCTGGGACCTGTAATTCACAGGGATATTCCCCCTCTGTTTTGGTTAACTATTTACAAAATACTTAGTTAAGGTATTTGCTAAGCAGTGGGAAGAGGTTTCTTTGAATTAAAAGTGGATTCTAATAGTTAAGATACCTGGCTTTCACGATTGGTATATGTTTAAACAGTTGTAATAACAGATCTACATGCTTCAAAAAGAATTTTAAGAACTGAAGTAATATTTTTAGGCCTAAAACTCTAGGATGCTCTTACATAAACAAACATTGCAAAGTCAAATGCCTTTCATTTTGCTTTGCTAATCTTTCCTTCAGTATATTTAATTTCATATGCCAAGTAAACATTATGTGTATTAGTAATGTAGATAGATTGTTACCATTTTGATTTGCAGTTCTCAAAGAATTCTCTCAAGAGTAGTCTACACCCCCAAGAGCAATGGTGGAAATAACATAAAGATTCCCATTTCAGGGACTAAGCTAGTGTTGGAATTCTGGCTTCAATGTTGTCAATAGCTTGCTCTGTGAACAAGCTACAGAAGCCTGACTTAACCCAACTCTTACTTTCCATTTTAAAAGGCTTATCTTTTGAAATCTAAATTTTTTATTACTCAAACAATTTTTAAAGACTAGAACTCTTAATAAAAGAATATTCTGACTCAAATAGCCAAGCTCTCAGCGACTCTGCTAAGGATTGTCCCAGGTCCAGGAAGGTACAGAAAGGCAAGCCCGTGAGGAAGTGACCAAAATGAATGGACAAAAACATCCCTGTGCAACTCAAGGCACCTTGCAGCGACTCAGGGTGAGAGCGGTGTGGGCAAGTGTACATGGACTTATGGAGTGAGAGCGTCTGGCAAGCCAAAGCACTAGGCTGGAAAAATCATTTGATTTAAGCACATACTGGCCCAGCCTCTGTCTTTAAGGATAACCCATCAGAGCAAGTGGAGAGACAACTCAGTCAGTAAAGTGCATATTGCACAAGCAACAGGACCTGAGTTCGTGTCTCCAGCGCCCACAGAAAGTCAAGCGCAGCACAGGCCTGTAACCAGCACTCTGGCATTGGTGGGTGGAGATGGGTGGATCCTGGAAGCGCACTGGTTAGCCAGCCTAGCCAAATTGATGAGGTCCAGGTTCAGTGAAGAACCTTGTCTCAAAAAAATAAAAAAAGTGGAGAGCGACTGACAAAGACACCAACACACACACCCTGCCTCGCACACACAGTATATTAGAATGGATACACACCTGCTCAGATGTGCACACACACACACACCCTGCCTCACACACACAAAGTTAGTATATTAGAATGGATAACAAATAAAAATAGGGTTGGGGATTTAGCTCAGAGGTAGAGTGCTTGCCTACCAAGCACAAGGCCCTGGGTTCAAGCCTCAGCTCCGGGGGGGGGGGGGGGGGGGGGGGGGGGATAGTCTCCAAATACTGATTAGCTACAAAGCTGGTAGAACTCACACACTAAAAATGGGAATGCAAAATCAGGAGCCCTTAGCACAATAGTTTGATGCATTATAATGTTAAATATACAGTCCAAGAAATTTTCCTAAGTGAAATGAAAATCTATACTCAAGAGAAACTCTGTCAGGCTGGTCTCAAACTCAGATCTGCCTGCCTGCCTCCCGGGTGCTGGGATTTAACCACCGCATCAGGTTAAAAGTTATTCCTTAATTTAAACAATGAGGGAAATAGTTGAAACCAGTTAATTATTTAATAGATACAAAACATATGTATAGTATAAAGTGTTTAAACATTTTAGTTTCTGCTATGTGATATTTGATTTTTAGCTTTTATTATAAATAAAGACAATCTTAACATTACAACTTGGCATGTTTAAAAGACTTAAAAATAATTCTGAGACTTACACTACACTTCAATGAATAAAATCTACAACATTCTAAGGTCATACTTTCTGAAAACTAGACAACTAAAACTTCAAAGAAAGATACACTATGAACATATATTTGAACTGCTAATAACGTGACAATCAAAAGTATGCATCTTAATAATAGACAAAAACTGTCTTGCAAGATGCAAACACTCAATCATTATGGCAAAGATCATAAATGTTAGGGACAATCTACTTGGTTTGACTGTCACCTTAGTCATTTACTAGGTATGGTACACTGGACAAGTTGCCCAGTCCCAAGAGAACCCTATCCTCCCAAATGTAAAATGTAAAATCCTCAGTTTTTGTAAATGAGAAATGAGAAAATACCCATAAAGTACTCAGCGTATGAAAGGTGCCATATGGCACCTGTTACTCCAGTTATATAATAATGGAGTGTTAGGATTATCTACGTTTAAAGTGACTGAAAATACAGTGTCTCTTTCAGGAGTTTGGACTTAGACTCAGTCTGTCTATAGTAGCACAAGAGGAGAGGCGCGGTGGTCTGGTCTGTGAACATCTGTCTGTCTCTTCTCCCACTGCTGTCCAGTGCAGCAGGAAAGCAGCAAGCTAGGTCAGACTTAAGGAGCTTCGGGCATCTCTGCATGGCCACAGCCCGCCAAACCCCTTATTTCTGTGTATCTCCCAAAGCAGGAAATGTTTTGTTTCTGCTTTCTTTTAAAGCCTGACTGGCTATGAGCCTTTACCGTGGTTAGTGTGTCCTGGGTTCTGTGTCCCTCGTCTCTCTCTTTTTTTTCCTTTTTCTTTCCTACCTTTCAAGTTAATTAAATACTGGTGTGTTGTTTTTTTGTTTGTAAATACAGGAATCTGTCCTTGAAGGAATCTGAAAGCTTGCTAACAAAAAATGATATCCATGAACCTCACCTTCTCTGAAACCCAAAAGTAAAGGAAAATGTGTATGAGGAAATGGAGTAAATTCAGCGCCGCGTGGTTTGCTTTCTTCATAGAACTAGGAAACAGCATGTTGTGAGGGTTTGTAAACTTCGGTTATCTCGGTGTTTAAGTTCTTGTTTGATTTGTTTCTTTATAGAATCTGAGACTTTACTTTCCGTGTGTGAATTCCGGGATCTATTTACTTTATTGGTTGTTAAATAAAATTTACCAGGAAATAAAATGTGGTTTCCTATTCCATACGAGTCCTTGAATCAAGAGGATCTGGGCTTACTTTCGAAAACATAAAGCTTATCATGATCACCTAATGATTACCCTGGCTCACTAACAAATTCAACATGTCTGGTTCATCACGGTGTAAGTAGTTACTATCTACGGTTTGGTAATCTCGATGTGGAAAGTCAGAAATCTGCTGGGAAATGTTGCAGAATCTATAAGCGAGCAGTGCCCCTGTGACAGTTTATATCTGATACTCTGAGCCCCCGGTTGGATCGTGTCGGGGGGGGGGGGGGCGGGGGCTGCTGTGAGGACCCTGTCCGGGGCGGCTTCCCGGCAAAGGCCGGTACGTACGGGCTGCAGAGCTGGGTGCCGCCAACGTCCGGATCCCGGTCCTCGCGGGTCGGTCTGGTCCCGCCCCAGCCTGTGCGCGCAGGTGCAAGGGCGGGAAGGGGCCGATGGCGGGGTCTCTGGGTCACGGTGTACTGAGGAAGCCGTTCTACTGCAAGAATCTTTACTCTGTGGAATAAAAAGCGGACAGGGACGCACACTCGGCTCCGCTCCTCGAGGTGAAAATCAAGCTGTTCTGAACCACGGGGTCCGCCCGAATCCGCGCGCAGCCGCTGGGCTCCCGAGCTCCGGGTCAGAGGGGGCGGGGCCAGGTGCCCGTCCCGCCCCCGAGCGGTTTGATTGATGAGTCTGTCCGCCGAGGGGGCGGCTCCGCCACGCCGTTGCCCCTAGCCTGAGGGCTCGCTTGGGCGCCCACCGCGGCCCGACGTGCCTTTGCGGGCCTCCCACTCGCTGGCTTTGTGCACCCGCATAAAAGGCGGCAGTAGAGGTGCACGGAGATGGAGTGACCTGCTCGACGGCCCTGACCGCCTCGCACTGCTCAGCCGCCGAGCCCCGCAGGGCCGCTGCGGGGTGAAGGGAGGAGGCAAGTCCGAGGTGAGGCCGGGCCCGGGGCAGGCGGGAGGGATGTCTCTGCGGGGACCGGAGGCTGAGCCCTGGGCGCCTTCAGCAGCCGCCCAGCACTGGGGACTCGAGGGCGAGCCCGCGGTGCCGGGTCTCACGGCCGCCCCGCTCCCTTGCAGCGCTCGCCGCGGGAACCGGAGCCGGAGCCGCTATGGAGCGCGGCCGTCCCGCCAGCAGCCCACGCAGCGCCGAGCCCGCCCCGTCGGCCGCCGCCGCCGCCGCCCGCGACTCGAGCCCGGGACGGACCGGGGCGGGCCAGACAGGCTCCGGCGGGGTCGCCGCGCGCTCCGGGGGTGGCCGGCCTGCCGCCGCGAACGCCGCCCGGGAGCGCAGCCGCGTGCAGACCCTGCGGCACGCCTTCCTGGAACTGCAGCGCACACTGCCGTCGGTGCCGCCCGACACCAAGCTGTCCAAGCTGGACGTGCTGCTGCTGGCCACCACCTACATCGCCCACCTCACCCGCAGCCTGCAGGACGACGCCGAGGCGCCGGGAGACCCCAGTCTGGGCGCCTTGCGAGGCGACGGCTACCTGCACCCAGTTAAGGTAGGCGACACTCCCGGGCTGGGACCCCGGGAGCCACCCTGTCGCCGCCGGAGCAGATGCCACGGAGCTGGCACTCCTCCAGGTCAGGCAGAAACATCTCTAGAAAGCTACCTGGGCCCGCGGGCGATGGTGACAAGGTCGCCAGTACAAGACGGTTCTTAACAGTTTGTAATCGAGAAGCTCGGGCTTTTAATCCTCGCTGGGCTCGTGTATTTCAAGCCCCTTAAAGATTTTCGCTCTTTCAGGGTGAAAATGGGAAAGCTGTTGTACATCCTAACGACTGCTAAACATCTAAGTTCGTCAAGTGTTTTAACATACATTAATTACATTTCTATTGTTTTTTTCTTCATCTATTACAAAGGCTTCATGAATTAAGTGGAGTCGTGGAATTAATTCTTTGCCCCTAAAGTAATTGTAAAAAAGATAAAAAACAAAACTTGCCAAAATCAGTTAAAAACAAATGAGACCTTTCTTCATCCCCATAAAGTAAAATTTCAATCACAGTTAAATATTGTGGACTAGACAGCTACCAACAATGTTAGAAAACCCCGGTAATGTTTCATATAACTGTCATTTTAAATTGGCATGTATGTTGAGTGAATTGGTCTGTATTCAAATTAGCCAAGAGAAACCAACCATTTTGCGTGGTTTCTTTACGTATCCATGAAGGGGTCATGAGTGTGGCATCTGACTTGGGTTCTCACCCGTGGTGCAGTAGCCGCTGCGTTATCCTTTCCTGGATTTCTTCTGAAACCTTCCGTTGATCTGTCTTTCTCTTTAAAATGAAGAATCTCTGTATTTGCTAAATTTAAATGTTCACATTTTTGTCCCACTATTCTGAAATATTTGAACACAAATACAATTAGAATTTAAGTGTCTAAGCATTGAATAAATTATTGAGTAACAAAAATGAGGAATTACATTTGTTGAAATGTAATAAAACATACCCTCTAATATTATTTGTACTTAAAATTGTGGAGTGCATTTTAACAAAACTTACTTTGAAACTACTGTCAATGTGGTGATAGAATTAAAGCCATTCAAATGTTAAATGTGAAAACATGAAATGTTCTTTATAATAATGATAGAACCCTTTTTATCCCCGAGTTTTATAACATAATAGCTGAGAGTCACTCATACAATTAAGAATTTTGTATTACAATAGCATTAGATTAATGCTATTCAGATATCCCATAATAGACTTCTTTGACTTGGTATTTGCCTTATATTCCAGGAAAGTTTATTTAAACAGTAAGATTCAATACCAAAAGCAGAAGTTAAACGCCTCCATCGTAGTTGATAAAATTTAGAATGAAGTCAAGTGGTCACCTCAGTGTCACCCATGGCTCTCTTGAGTGAGAAAAGCTGGAGACAGCAGTGTCAAGAAGGGGCAAGCTGGCGTCGTACTTGACTCACATGCCAAATGTTTTTGTCGTCATAACTGTTTTAAGAAAAAATCAGTCTCATTCGTGGTCTGATTTTGAAAGGCAATGTCCATAATATCTAAATTTCTAAACCTAGAGATAATTCTAGAAGGCCAAAGATTATCTCGTAAAAATGAAGCTGATGATAGTTAACAAGGGACTGGAGTGTTTTAAAATCAAACATTTGATTTATTACTGTGTAGAAATCTCTGCTTTAGGACGGGGAATACAACTGTAAGACTTAATCTCTTCCCTAAATGAACACAATAGATCCAAAAAAACAAAAATATAAATTGTAGTATAGGACTGTAAAGAAGAATATTATATTGATTAAGAAAAACAGTCTAAACCACAAGCCTGTAGTTTCAGAAGACAGAAATTTTACATACTTAGTTGAAAGTTGCCTGCCTCTATTTTGTGGACACTGTTGAAATTTTTAAATATTGAGTCTATTCTTAATACAAAGGGAATAAAAATATTCTGATGATTTTTACTTTCGGGGTAAGTAAAGCCTCATTACAAACTATGGTAGATAGCCCTTAGTAAGTGTTCTAAAATTGCTGTTCTCCTGTAGTACAACAGTGTTACTAAGTACTACACAAATTACTAAAGATATTTTAACAAATATTCCAGTCTGTCGCTTTGAATATATTACAAGCATGTTAAAATGATTGGGTCTTTAGAGTACCACAGAGGACAGAGGAAGAGGTAGTCAGAGTGGAGCTCATGCTTAGAGTTTACAAGGCTCTGCGTTCTGTGCATTAAACTGGAAGGGAGTTTTAAGAGCTAAACTTCTGGGGCTGGAGAGATGGGTCAGCAGTTGAGGGACTGACTGCTCCTCCAGAGGACCCGGGTTCAAATCCCAGCACCCACAAGCAACTCAAGACTGTAACTCCAAGATGCACTCTCACACAGACATGCCTGCAGACAAAAGACCAATGCATATAAAATAAAAGTAAATAAATCAAAAAAGAGAGAAAGAGCTGGACATTTGCAGCGTGGCCTAAACTCACTTTCATCCACTTGGAAAATTAGCAGTTTCAATCAGCACTGGGGGCCTAGAGGGGTGATTCTCCAGGAGAACAGGAGTGTACTTCAGACCTTTAACTCAGGGAGAAAAGCGCGGATGTCTGCGATAATTGCCAGGCCCCATGGGAATCATTGTCCATAACAACGATAAGCAAGCATTTAAAAACTGAGGCTTTGTTGTTTGGGGATCATTTAATTAGAATAGGAATGCATTTTTAAAGATCTTCGATTTCAGGCTCAGTTCTGGTTAATTGCTTGATTTTTTTATAAGTTTAAAGAAAACTACATAATTTCAAATATACTTTAGAATAGAGAACAACATAATGACACATATGTGCATATTAAGATGCCATAATGAAGTTTATTTCTTTGTGTGCAAACCTAGGGACTTATAATATATGTGATTTAAAACAAGCTGAAAATAAAATAAATATACCTTAATAGAGAGATAGCATTCAGGACTGTATTTGCTAGTCATCCCTCAAGACATTAAAATGGGACTTTTGTTGGCTGCCACAGAAAAGTGACTTTCCAGATAACAGCATACACCCATCTACTAACATTTTTATTTTCCACTGGACATGTGAAAGTTTTACATAATTGTGAGATACAGTGCTGTGCTTCAGTATGTGTGTGTGTTGTATGATGTTCAAATGAGAATAATCTCGCATCAGTCTCTGTAGACATTGCCCATTTGTGCTATTAATATTCACAATCATTTCTTCAGGCCTATTAGAAAATATAAAGTACAATATCGTCATCTGTAGGCACCCACTGTGAGACAGAAAACCCAGACTAGAGAGTATGGGCAGCTTTGTGAGGCTGCTGCCCTTGCTGCCCAGAGGCTGCCCAAGCCTTTCTGTATCATGCCTTTCTTAAATGTCCACTTTGTATTTACCTGCGCGCTGCTTCTTCAGAACTAATGTTTTCATTTAGGTTTAACTTGGAATTAAAATAGCGGTAGACTTTCTACATCTCAGCAATATTCATTCTCCTTAACTCCTGCAGTTCTTGTAAAACACGCATGTGTATTATTTTTACAGTTATAATCAAAGCCTTCTTCACTTGTGTCGCTAACATTGCTAAACAGTCTTCATCTTGTCCCGTGGACTTTGTACTTATAATCCTTACCAGCTAAATAACCTCACTAACATTAATGTGTCTTAAAGTTTAGGTATTATACACCTGCGTTGTATGTCACAGAGACTAACCTTCAGATTCTTACTTAAGTACTCTTTTTTTTTTTTTTTTTTTTTTTCCAGAAGTGGCCCATGCGATCAAGATTGTACATCGGCGCTACTGGTCAGTTCCTGAAGCACCCTGCCTCTGGAGAAAAGGCAAATCATAGCAACACCCCAACAGCCTCACAGCCTTAGGCTGTCTCCTGGGGGGGGCGGTCTGCTAGAAGTGGTCGCTATTGTTTTTAAAGACTGTGAACTAATTCTGTATTTATTACATTGGACATGACAAACACTGTTTCTGAAGTTTACATTGAAACCTGTAGTTGAAGGTCAAAGCGTATCTGTCTAAATAAATGTGGAATGGGATAATCAGCCCTATATAACAATATATATAGCTTATTTAATCATCACATCGCTGCTACATAGTAAAGAGAAGCCGTTATGAAAAATGAAAGCCACACAAAGGCATATAGTTGTATATACCTAAAGAATGTACACATTTCCTTCCACATTTTCTGTAGTGTGTCTATTACTTAAAAGCTGATGTGAATACAGCCCTTATGTGTGGTGTTGTGTGTCTGTAATCCCAGCACTCCAGGACGCAGAGGCAGGCAGATCTCTGTGTGTTCGAGCCTAGCCTGCTCTATATAGAAAGTTCAAGGCCAGCCAGGGCTACCCATTAAGACCCTGTCTCAAAAAATAAATGTGTTTATATTAGTATTCAATTTTTGTGAAAGCCAGTGTGTGCCTTGAATTGGCCATTTTAGTTAGAAGTCGTAAGATCATTATTCAGCTGGGCTGTGTGTGTGTGTACAAAGATTGTTACAGTAACTTCTGTCTGTAGATCTTTTTTCCAAATAGAAAATGTATATGGAATATGAGAAACGGTTTTCTCTATGAAACAGGATGTGACCACCTTTCAAGAAGTTGGTCAATATTAAGATCTGACTTCCATTCCAAATTGTGGAAGGCACTAGTAATACATGTCCATATGAGTAGGGGCTCAGGTGTCACTGGGTGTGGAGTTCATTACCCTTTCTCCTGGCAACACCATATCCACCCCATCTCCTTTCCCATCCTGGATAGTTAGGCAGGCTCGGATGTAGCCTTCCTGGACGTGGCATTTCGGCACTGATTTGGGATTTCTGCCAGCGATCTGTACCTTGACAGAGGCTAAGGACACAGATAAGCTCAGGCTTGAGTCTGTCCCCATGTGAACCAGCAGACTTTTTTAGCTGCACCACACACCACCATGGGCCCAGAGAGGCACCTGTCTGACTGTCTATACCAGGGATTTCTGAGTTCAGCAAGAGACTGTTGGAAAATGAGCTGGGGCTGGCTTAGCAGGTCAAGATGCTGGCCACCAAGCCTGACTTCATGAGTTCAGTATCCACAGCCTACGCAGTGGAGAGAACCGACCCCGAATCTTGTCCTCTGACCTCCACATGATGGTGTACAGAATACACAACACACAAAACAAACAAATGTGATAAGATAAAACCACCCTGTGAGAAAGTGAGCAGAGCTCTGCCCTTGATGATATTGGTTTTGATTTCTTGTCATTACAAATGTTCTAAAACTTAAGAAGTGTAACTTACATTTTAGATTTGTATAACATTAATTAAGATGTTGGATAGGCTCACAGATTTTAGGAAGTTAGAGAATCTCAGAGAAGTCCCATATGGCCATGAGCGCACAGGTGTTTTGGGAACATACTGAACCCCAAGAGTGGAATCTAACGGAGATGAGACATTCCCCTCATTCCTTTGCCGACATGTCCTCCTCACCTCTATGACACCCCCTTCCAGCTGTGAGTTCATTCATTGCTTGAGAGCACAGTTTTAAAGCTGCTGAGCTCAATGTAAGATTAGCAAGTGTGGGGCGTTTACCCACCACCCCCACAGTTCCCCAGAGTTTTCTTGAGTGTGAGCAGCAGGAAATATTAGATAGAAGGATTTATTGTGGAGAATATCTCGGAGATAAACAGATAGAAAATAAAGGATAGCCTCGAGAGGGCCTGGAACCTTTTCCAACGGGTCCTGACTGTTTCTGCCCCAGGGTATTTATAGACGCCAAGGGGTGGAGCAAAAGACCTCCTCCCCCAGCACAGCCAAGTGCAGACCATCCCAGACACCTGCACTCAGGCCTGCACTCATCCTCTATGCGGACCTGCTGGGTAAAGCCACGAGGAACCCGAAAACGGGCTCCCACAAGCAAGGAAAGAGACATTAGCGGATTCCACTGAATTTAAATAACAGTAAAAAAAAACAATTATTTTCAGCTGTTCTCCTGCAGCCTGTAGCAGTGACGTTAAAGATCACATGACAGCCAGGCCGCTGTTCAGATGACTCAATGTGTGGACACGTTATTTTTTATCCAATAGTTTGTAAGTTTTACTTATTTTAGTGAGACTGTTTCCCGTTGAATGTGACCAATAAAATCTTTCTACATATCATTCTGCTTTCTACACGTTAGTGTGTGGCACAATTGCTTGTGTACTTAAATTTTTGTGAGTACAGCCGGGCGGTGGTGGAGCACGCCTTTAATCCCAGCACTCGGGAGGCAGAGGCAGGTGGATCTCTGTGAGTTCGAGGCCAGCCTGGTCTCCAAAGCGAGTACCAGGCGCAAAGGCGCAAAGCTACACAGAGAAACCCTGTCTTGAAAAAACAAAAAAATAAAAAAATAAAAAATAAAAAAATTTTGTGAATACATTCACCCACTCATCTAACATTAAGGGAAAAAAGTAAAATGGTTTGGACTTGGCCATTTGCTCTTACTTTATTGGTACAGGAAGTGGTAGCCTAGTTTTTATCATAAGGAACGAAATTAAAATTTCTTTTTGTTTGCAGTGAATAATAACCTCATGGTCATTGTCTTCAAAACAAAGTGGCATAGAACAAACTGGATCATTTGGTGCCTTTTCTTACTGCCTAGCATTTCACAGTGCTCCCGTCTCTGGTGTGACCGTGTTCTCTGGGATCTGCAGTGGGCCGCATCCGCTCAAGCCTCAGCGGTCTTCATAATTCTAACCCTCTGCGGCCAAAAATAGGTGTCGCTGGCCCACTGTGGGTGATCTGCCTCCTGTCACGGTGCTCCTGGCCCACTGTGGGTGCTCCTCCTCCTGTGACGGTGCTCCTGGCCCACTGTGGGTGTTCCTCCTCCTGTCACGGTGCTCCTGGCCCACTGTGGGTGATCTGCCTCCTGTCATGGTGCTCCTGGCCCACTGTGGCCGTTCCTCCTCCTGTCATGGCACTCTTAGCCCACTGTGGGTGTTTGGCCTCCTGTCACGGTGCTCCTGGCCCACTGTGGGTGTTCCTCCTCCTGTCACGGTGCTCCTGGCCCACTGTGCGTGCTCAGCCTCCTGTCATGGTGCTCCTGGCACACTGTGGGTGTTCCTCCTCCTGTCACGGTGCTTCTGGCCCACTGTGAGTGCTCTGCCTCCTGTCATGGTGCTCCTGGCACAGTGTGGGTGCTCCTCCTCTTGTCATGGCGCTCCTGGCCCACTGTGGCCGTTCCTCCTCCTGTCATGGCACTCTTGGCCCACTGTGGGTGTTTGGCCTCCTGTCATGGCACTCCTGGCCCACTGTGGGTGCTCTGACTCCTGTCATGGTGTTCCTAGCCCACTGTGGGTGTTTGGCCTCCTGTCATGGTGCTCCTGACCCACTGTGGGTGTTCTGCCTCCTGTCATGGCGCCCCTCTCCTTGGGCATGCAGAGAACCCTTGCCTGCTTGTCCTGTGTCACTTGGTGGGGCGGGTGCTGCCACCTTACTTGAAGGAAGACTGGAGGGTTTTAGATAACGTGCACCATGCCTGCCAGATGTCTACAAGCCCAGACAGGGTAGGGCCGGACATGAAACTGTCAAACTTTCTTTAAAGTTACCTTGAATAGACCTGTAATCACGACATTGTGTAGCAAAAAATTCATCAAATGATTTTTTTTTGCTAATTATGCCAGTCTATTAGTTTGACCATAATTTCATAGCATTTAAAGGGGGGAAGATGGGACTTTGGTTGAATTACTTCTAAATCACCCTATTAAGTAGAACCTTGCCTTTGATGTTATAACTTATTTCCATTTACCTACTTATAAATGTTTTCATGCCCAAGAAGTGTATTTCATAACACTTTATCGAATTGCTAAATATACTAATAGCTTTAGGAAGATTAGAAAATCTCGAAGAAGTTGAATCTTTTCAACTACAAGTTCAAAAGGGCAGGCTGCTTTAATTCATGATGCAGAATAATGGGTATCATTAAGATAAAGTTTGAAAATCCGTCTGTTAAATTTGCACTTGTCTCTTTGGATAACTTGAATCTTCCTAGAGGATGGACAGTTACTCAGCATTTGCCCTTCACCATGATGTCCTCAGCAGATAGTACATACAACAAGGACAGATGTATTTGGGTCCACAGTGTTACCCCATAATCTGCACAAGAAATCCTCAGTTAAATTTCTTTCACGTCATGCAGCTTTCCTACTGGAAGTTACCATTTAATTTTATTTTGATGATAATTTGAGGGCTAGAAAATGCCATTTTAGAAAGAAAACTAGAGGTTGGGTTTTTTTTCTAACAGGAGAACTAGTTTCATTGTATTTTTCCTGACCATAAAAATATGTACATTACAGTTTGCTGTATGTGAACTGTTCACCAATAAAGCTCCATTAAAAAGTGTGTGTGTTCGTTCACATTCTCATCTCTGTGCCCAACTGTCTGACGGGAGCAATTCAAGAGAGAAGGCCTTTCTTTTTTTTTTTTTTTTTTGGTTTTTCGAGACAGGGTTTCTCTGTGCAGCTTTGCGCCTTTCCTGGGACTCACTTGGTAGCCCAGGCTGGCCTCGAACTCACAGAGATCCGCCTGGCTCTGCCTCCCAAGTGCTGGGATTAAAGGCGTGCGCCACCACCGCCCGGCGGAGAAGGCCTTTCTTCTGGACTATGGTTATAGGGAATGCGTGTGACTGACCGACCTCGTGCCTGGTGATGGAAGCTGGAACACGAGGCAGCTTGTCACATCCAGGCTGGAAACAAGCAGAAAGCACAGGCTGGATGCAGCCGGGTTATAACCTTCAAGACCCACACACAACAGCCAGCTAAGTCCTGTGTCCACAAGCTGCTTAGAACAGCTCTTCCTGCTGAGAACCTGATATTCAAACACAGGAGCCTGTGTGGGATGTTTCACAGTCAAAAGAAAAGAGTATCTGTGCATACTTGTTTTCAAAACGACAGAAGGAATGAAGTAGAAAAGTTCAGTTGTGGAGGTGAGTGTCAAGGAGCGAGGAAAGGGGCATTGCCTG